ATATCCAAATTCACCCCTCAACTATAAGGGTAAGGATGGATCCACACCTGAACAAAAAACGAGGACAAATTCACCTACAAATTTTTTGACTTAGACAAATAACCCATTATTTAACGTGCCACGTTATATGACATCATCATTTCGTTAACTCCATGTTAACTTCGACTTTTTAAACACCGTGGAATCTTTTTTAACAGTTGGATGCTTAGGTGGCCATTTTTGTTGAGTTGGATGACCACATGGCACTTACCTCATTTTTCTATCACCATCTCATCTAGGTCTTATTTAAATTTCAAAATTACATCTCTCCTCTAATTACAAATAGACCTTGTCTTCTTCCTTTCCCTAATTTGCCTTTTCCCTTTCGAACCACAGTAGATCAGAGGTCGACAGCAGTGAGAGCATTTTTCTCCTTTCTCCCTTTCTCCTTTTCTACCCTTTCCATCATATGAGGTTGGGGCCAAACGGAACCCAGATTAAAAGCCACAAGATATAATCATGCCTCCTAACAAGCTTGAAGTGCCATAAAACAAAGAAAATTGAGATTTGTGTTCCTCTGTCATAAGGGCTTGAAAGAGTTGCAAATTTTGCAGGTTTGTTATGCGATTTTGGGTATAATAGTGTTGATTAACTGATGAGAATTGAAATTGAAATTTTTGTTATAATAGAGGAAACCCAGATCTGGGTTTCCTGTCTTCAAGGATTTGGTAGAACCCACCATAATAGATCTAGTTCAAGATGCTCGGTTGGGTATAATGGTGCGTTTGTTGCAATTTTCTACAATATCCTTGAAGACAACAAACTCGCCATGACAGATCTGGTTCTAGATGCTTGGCTGGGGATGTTGGAGGAGTATTTGAGGTCAACTGTGGATAATATCTAAGTATACCAGCCAAGAAAGCTTGTATTTAAAAGGAAACTCACCAAAACACAATGGACCAAATTCTCCATAGATGAATCGGTTGATTTTGGGTGGGGAAAGATGCCTCATTAGAGAAGACGAACTGTCCATTTCCTTTTAACTCTTTTTTATCTTTAATTTGGTCTTTTTAGAGTTAATTCATTAATATGTAATAATAAATGTTACTTATTAATCATTTAAGTTTTTAAATGGTCTTTCATCATTTAAGTTAATTAAATTTAAATATGTAATTTTTTAATTAAAAATTAATGAAATGAAAATAGTCGGTTCACTAATAAATTGGTATGGAGGGTAAAACAGAGAAGAAAGAATATTTTAAGAGGTATTTATGATATTTAAATTGGAGCCCAGATGCAAAAAAAGGGAAGCGAAATGCCACAATGTAAAAAATGGGTTGAAATTGGACTGTAGTCGTGTCCAATTCAACAAAAAAAGCCACCTAAGATTCCAGGTGTTAAAAAAGTCAGACTTAACGAACAGTTAATGAGATGATGATATCACATGACGTGGCACGTCAAATAATGGGTTATTTGTCTAAGTCAAAAATTTTGTGGGTGGATTTGTCTCCGTTTTTTGTTCGGGTGTGGATCCGTCCCTGCCCCTATAGTTGAGGGGTGGATTTGGGTATTTTGCCTAAAAATTAAATTTTTTTTGTCACAAATTATATTTATATTTAAACTTTGGTTGGTTTCTGTCCATTACAAATATTAAGTCATTAAAAGTAATAATAATTAATTTTGAAATCATGATAACAAATTATGATTTTAGTTATGGTGAAAATGAACACAATTACTATTGTATTTGTAACGAATTTTTACGTCACAATGATGACTATTAGCTATTATTACAATTGCCAATTTAAGAGACATACTTTGGTTTCATTTTATTTTTCAGGTGATGATGGACCAACTGCAAATGAAATGCTTTATTGGAGCTCAGTGGCTATACTAATGGTCTCAATGTTTGCTACAAAAAATTCAATTATTTTGATTTTGTTTGTCTTCTAAGTAAAACATTTGAACTATTATTCAATCGTATTCAATTATTATACCATTGGCCATTGGACTCTTGCTTGTCAAAGAAATGACTTTCATTTACATTTTTGGAGGTTCAGAAATCAACATATGCATTCTCTGAATTATCTAATAAAGCATGGATTTGATCTTATGACTAAGGAAATGATGGGATATCAGTAATTTTAAATCAAATTTTAGTGTTACCTATAAGAAGTAAGCTAAGTCGGTGTTTATTAATTTAAGAAGTTTGATTTGATGTTATGGATAGAAGTGTAAACTAAAAAATAATCAAAGTTTAGCACCCAAATGTATTTTACGGAGAATTGAAATATATTTTGGCATTATTTTGCTTGAATGGAGTTTCTGTCTAATAGTTGTAGCCATGTACTACAGCTAGCATCCATAGGTTATGTTTTTTCATTTTCGTCTGTGAGGCGTCAAGCAAATTCAATGGCCCATCATCTGGCTAAATCTGATTTCTAAATAAATTTAAGAAACTATACGAGAAAAGAAGTATGACTTGGATTCAAAGACAGATTATTGACGCTGGACATGCTCTTAGTGTTGACACCACGAACTATGTGTCGATACTATGTCCGTGTCGGGTTTCCAGCCCCTTTTCACAATTTTATAATAGTAAAATGGCTGATCTCATCCTCTAATTTTTGTAGAATGAACACTTTAAATTAATTAAATTGTATTAAATCTTCTAGAAAAATAATAAATTATGTTTTTTTTATAGAAAAATTAATTTTATAATGCTGACTTTTATCCATAAAAAAATTATGAATTTTCTCCATATAAAAAATTATGGATTATTATTTTTAAAAAAACCTTTTATTTTGGTGATATTTAAATGTTTTCATTACCAAATTTATAAATGATGAAATTTCTTTATTTATGGCAAATTTTTATTAGTCACAAATATTTACCTAATTTATAGTGATTAATACTATTGTAACTAATTTATTTATTTTTTAAAATTAAATTGTGGATTAATTGTGACAAAAAATTTTGTTACATCTTATGAATTTTTTTAGTAACAAACCGCATATAGTCACAAAATATATTTGTTACAAAACATAATTTTAGTCACAAGAAAAAAAGAGCATTTGGGACATAAATTTATCTTTTGTAACTAATATTTTTCAAGTAACTAATAATTAATTTATTTGTGATAATTTTGTCCGTCACAAATTTAAGTAATTTATTGTGACAAATTTTTAGTAACTAAATATTATTTCTGTGTCTAAATTATATATTATAATATTAAAAATTAATATTAGTGATTATTATTTTAAATTAATCACAAATATAAAAAATACTAGTGACCAATTGATAATTAGTCACCATTTTTAGTCACAGAAAACCAATTTTCTTGTAGTGTTCCTTTCCATTGTGAGAAGAAAAAGAGTAAGAGATAGGGATGGCAATTTCCCCCGATATCCGTAGGATTCTCGCGAGGCAGGGATAGGGAGTATTTTTCTTTTGTGAAATTTTGCAAGAAATTTTCCCCACTCCGCGGGGTCCGTGGAGATCCCGCCCTTGCAAAAATTAAAATAAATATAAATTAATTTCATTTTAAATTTAATTCACCTTTCAAACTCAAATCCAAACTCAAACCCAAACCCAAACCCAAGTTAAAACCCAATTCAATCAAAATTAAACTTAACCTAATTTTACCCAACCTAACTCAACCCAATCCATAAAAATTAACGTAACCCATTCCCCTACATACACTTAACCTTAACCCTAATTTATTTATCAATTTTCATTTTCATCGTCCTTGGCTTTCCCTTTCCTTCTATTATGCGACTCTACCATCTGAATGCCCTCTATTCCATTGCCACCCTTTTATGATTATACCCTTGCCCTTCCCAATGCTCACCTTCTGCCGTCGCTTATTTTCTCCTTTGCACCGGCTGGATCATCTCAAATCCCATTCCCTCCACTGCACTGTTGGTCTACTACTGCCGAAGCCATTTGCCTGCTGCTGCCAAACTGTTGAAGCCATCTACTTGCTGCTATCTAGACGGTCGAAGCCACATGTGGTTCTGTTGCAGCCTTGCCCTTCTTGGTATTGATTTTCTTAATTTTCAAAATACTGATTTTTTTTTATGTTGGTTTAATTATTTTATTTATGTTTGATTAATTTTTACTTATGTTTTAGTTTAGTTTGGATTAATTTTTGTTTATGTTTGGAACAAATTTGTTAATTGTTGGTTTAGTTATTTATGTTAAATTAATTTTTATTTATATTTGGACAATTTATATTTGATTTTATATTTAAAATTTTTAATTAATTGTATTTAAATTTTTAGAATTTCATTCATTATAATTGAATATTAATTACTTATATGTAAAAGACAAAAAACTTTATAATTTAATATTAATTGGTGGGGAATGGGGATCTCTATGGGGAATGGGGATCTCTATGGGGAACGGGGACGGGGGGCAAAATCTGTTCCCATTAAAAATCCTTGTAGGGATCCCCGTCCCCGCCATCGTGGGGATGGGGACGGACTCCCTGGTCCTGCAGGGTCCCATTGACATCCTTAGTAAGAGAGTTCCTTTCGATGGCCAATGAAGAGAAAGAATTAAGATAAGTTTTGGGAAAACATATGACTTAGTGGACGATATTACACCCCATTGAAATAAAAAAATTAGTTTAGTAGTCTCATGAGTCTTCACATATTCTTCTTTATTTCTTCGATGTGGGATCTTTAATTCTTCACTCACAAGGAAAACATACTTCAACACTCCCCTTTTCACTTGCGAGTGAGTTGTGAGCCCCTGTGAGAGTTCATCCATTTTTTTTATGACATATATAACATGATCCATGGGTATACTCATCATTGACATAATATCATCTATGGATATATTTTGTTGTTCCTCGAACACTCTCTTCCATCTCCACATCATGTCATGGTTGTGTCTCGGTCACAAGATTAAATAAAATA